TTAGAGATTGTAAAAACACATAATATTAATTACTTTATGAATCCATGATTTTATGATGGTTTTACTTATTTTCCGTCGGATGTTTTGGATATTTTCTTTTGGAAGTACGGAAAACTGCTCTAAGAGGAAATACTATTTGGAACGTTATTAAACAGCTTTATGCTGTTTGATTGTTGGAATTTCGAATGTATTGTTTTGTCTTAAGTTTAATATTTTAATTGTTCTCTTATAGTTAACAAATAGATAGTTCGGTTGCTTAGAGTGTATAATTTTGAACATTGTTGATATTATGGTCATTTTTTGTAATTTATCATATTTTGACATATTTATTCTCTTATATTTATCGCATATAGTACTATCGTACTTTAGTCTTAATATATATCTTACACATGCATTTTGTGCTGTTTGTATATCACATTTGTTTGTATTAGACAAATCAGACAGTATAGGTGCGCTGTATCGAAAATGAGATGTTATGAAGAGAGAAAGAGAGAAGAGAGAGAGAGAAAAGAAAAGAGAAAGTGAGAAAAAGGGAGAGAGAGAAAAAAAGAGAGGGGTGAGAGAGAAAGAGAAAAAAGAGAGAAGGGAGTGAGTGAGAGAGAGAGAGAGAGAGAGAGAGAGAAGAGAGAGTAATTTTCGTAATTAATTGACTAATGATTTGTAAATTACCAGATTCAGATACAGTAAAAATGATCAAAAACCACCTTGATATTTTTTAAGCATAATAAAAAATTTCTTTCAAAATATAAAAACGTCATTTAATTAACAAGTAACGATAATAATAAATTACGTAGAAAATTTTATGGCAAAAGTGCTTTTTACTCAATAAACGAACAGACAAAACAAAAATTTTTCTAGTTCTCTATCACTATCATGTCGATTGGTCATATATTTGAACTGTATGATGTAATATGTACTTTTGTCCCACCCTCAACTTGCAAATACTGCATAATCAATATTTAAAAGTTAACTAACATTTGGATAAATTATTCAGTAAAATGTATTATTTTTACAATCATTTTTAATTAATTAAGTGGAGTTTAATTTAGAATATTACATCGGCATAATTGATGGTTTTACTTCAAAAATTATTTGAACGGAGAGACCTACCACGAGGTAAACGGTTGGATGACCTTGCTCAAATATAATTTCTTACCCTAAAGAAACACAGGGTATTCTATTAGCCTTTTTATTTACCATGGGGCCTTTATTTAAATTCCAAATCAGACTTCTAAATAAATTTGGATGTCATATTTTTTAAGCATATTTCGATCTTTACAATAAGCTTATGATTCCGAACTGATGAACATGTCCGTGCTGATTGCATGTTTAATTCAGCAGTCGTTTGTTTAACAAATCTTTCAGTGGGCAGAATAAAATTAGAACGGTCTTTTTCAAACATTAAAATCGTTTGGAAGCTTGTGAAACTGGATTTAAACTTGCGACATTTTTGATTCAGTAATCATGTATACACATATTCATGTCCAGTGTTGCACATTATTTACATGACATTGTTCCAGCATAAAAAGCTAAGCTGCCCAATCTAAAATTGATTAATAGCAGAATTCTTTTTTCTCGGAATCAACCCATGACGGTTTTCACATTTGTTACGGTAGTTCTTTCGCTCCGTGAGGGACTCGATTTTTGCAGATTGAGACAACCAATCATTGATTTATTCGGAAGGAAATTCATAAAAATTGACAATAAAATACTAACGTATCTGGAAGAAAATCATTAAAGAAAGTTTAGTGGCACAGTTCCACCCGTTTACCAATTTTACGCGCCATGATATAGCGTATAAAAAATACATAAAAAACATCTGTACGAAGCTACTCTATAAAAGGCAGAACGTCTGGATAGACTATGGATCTACCTTCTTCTATAATTTGTCACTCTGATTATACGATTGTCTCACGTTCTCCTACCAGGTAAATAACCGTGGAATCAAAGACGTGAAAGTACGTGATCCTATTACGTTCGAGATTAAGTCATTTTACGGTTTTACGATCATAAAGGCTATTGCCTTCTGCTCCCTCAATCAAATAATGTGTTAAACACATGATGAAGCTATTTACTTTCAGAGGATATAAAATAATCAACGTGCTAATAACAAGTTTGATTGATTCCGGTGTTTTTATAATGCACTCTGAAAACTCTGGGAGATCATAACTTATTTACCTAATTAAGACCACACTGTAATAAGTACTTTAAAAAGTGCTAACAGAGATATGTTATATTTATACGTTTATGCTGTTTTACATTATCAAGAGATCAAAATTTAATAATTTATCTTAAATTAAACGATTTTCCATTTACAAGTGTTGGAATTTTTAGTTAAATGTAATTCGGACAAAATCTGGGACGATTTTATTTACTTATTTCTGTGTGTACGAAAATAAACTTACACAAATCTGACATATCTTTGAGGCCATGGAGCAATGTGGAGAATAGCCAGACTTCCACGGTTGAAATGTCTAGGTCTTTGTGAATTGTAATTTTGGTAAAGTAAAAATGACCTTAAATGCACTAATTTCGTGGTCCGCTTGACCAATTAATATATTACAATTAATTAAGGTTTTTAGTTGAGATAAAAAAGACAATGGCAGGAGCGGCATGAAAAATGGCAAAAAGGGGGGAAAACTCAAAAGGTGTGGTTGAGATGGGAAGTTAGTGTCCGAGTGGATCGGGTCACGATAGCTCAAGTGGTAGAGCAGCGGCGTATCAACCTGAAGATCGTGGGTTCGAATCCCGCTCGTGCCATTGTCTTTTTTATCTCAACTAAAAACCTTAATTAATTGTAAAAAGGACCGTTGAACATGCGATAGAGGACTTTGGATTGAAAGTGTTGGATTCATTGGATACTGGAAAATTTGACCGAGCCCCACAGCTCGATCCCGAAAATCAAAACTGGTTCGATGAGTTAAAGGGTTATTGTCTGCGCTTCAATGTCACTTGTATTTTTTGCTCATTTAACTTGTTGAGGCCAAATGTTATTCGATTCTTCTTATTAGGTCAGGATCAGAGTGCGTGCACCACCCTAAATTTGGGTCAGGGTTAGTGTGAAGTTTGAGATTTCTATTTTAGAATGTGTGGATATGTCAGCAGTGTACATTGTGTAAATGATTGATCCTAGGATATTTCCTTGCTGAATTCCAATTTTGCTTGGCATGTTGCGGGAAAAATCGGGACGAATTTTTACTATAAACCTTACGGACTTTTTTTTAAATATTTAACAAATTTTATCACATTAAATTGAAAGTTTCTAGAGTTCTAGTTTGGGCAGCACGTTCCATTAAAATTGTAGCTCAATTCACCACAAAATACGCCTGGAGAAAATAGAAGATAAATGTTTTTAATATACCAACATTTTAATTATAAGATGGTAAAATAGTTTTTACGAATTTATCTCAATTCATACCGATCCGTGAATATGTGTTTTTTGTTGATATAATTAAAATCAGCCTTCAATATAATAATCTTATGATAAAAATGAAGAATAAATATTTATGAAAGGTATTGGTTCAGATAAAAAAGTCAGTGTCACGAGAGGGATTCGAACCCACGACCTTCGGCTAAATACGACACTGCTCTACCACTTGAACTATCGTGACTTCGATCCGCTCGGGCACTAACTTCCCATCTCATCCCCACCTTTTGAATTTTCCCTCTTTTTGCCATTTTTCAAATGTCGTGAAATCTATTTGATTCTCGGCGACAAATGAAATGGCCACGGAGAGCTTTAGTGAAGTATACTTCATTTTAGTTAATTAAATTCACTATTTTTCGTGGTCCGCTTGACCAATTAATGTCGTTCAATTAATTAAGGTTTTTAGTTGAGATAAAAAGTCAGTGTCATGAGCTGGATTCGAACCCACGACCTTCGGCTTGATACGCCGCTACTCTACCACTTAGTACTCGAGCGGACCGAAGTCACGATAACTCAAGTCGCAGAGTAGCCGAAGGTCGAATTTATCTCAATTCATACCGATCCGTGAATATGTGTTTTTTGTTGATATAATTAAAATCAGCCTTCAATATAATAATCTTATGATAAGAAGAATGAAGAAATGAAGAATAAATATTTATGAAAGGTATTGGTTCAGATAAAAAAGTCAGTGTCACGAGAGGGATTCGAACCCAGACCTTCGGCTAAATACGACGCTGCTCTACCACTTGAGCTATTGTGACTTCGATCCGCTCGGACACTAACTTCCCATCTCAACCTCTCTCAAGTGGTAGAATAGCGGCGTATTTAGCCGAAGGTCGTGGGTTTGAATCCCGCTCGTGACACTGACTTTTTTATCTCAACGAATACCTTACATAAATATTAATTAATTGAAAAATGTTAATTGGTCAATCGGAACATGAGCTGTAATAGATTAAGAATAAAGCCAATTTCAAAGAAATCAGTCAATCCCTTCGTCAAACTTTACTTAAGATTTTTAAGTTATTATGTATAATTTACATGTTTAATATTTACTAACACCTATTTACATTATGTACCAAGTGTTTCAAGCAGAATAAAATAACGAATTGAATTCACAGTGAACAAGATCATCATATCCATTTGATTCTACATCAAAAATACCCTTCGTGTTTGTTTTCATATTTCTATGCAACTCTTCATTTTAATTTTAAGAAAACAAGTTTTAAAATTACCATTTTTCTTCTTTAATGTCGTCGTTCAGATAATTTAATTTTTAGGCGCTTACAAAATCAATGTTATTCTGTTTTTCCACCAATCTGTTCAAAATTCATTTTTAGTTCTTCCATTTGCTTGTACCTTTATTGTTTAAAATTATTTTGAACTAAATGAATTATGAACTTATGTTCAGTGAATATGATAGAATAATTAGTTATTTTAATCTCGATCGCAGCAAATTTTCCCAGGTCGCCAAAATATTTTCATAATTCATTATGATGCCTGTCATGATGAGTTTTTTCTCAAAGTTCGACAATTAGTTGTATTGTTAAATGAAACTTTCAAGTAATGTGAACAGGCCGAACTTTATGTTATAGAACTGAAGGAGGTTAGTAGTATGTGGAACAACAGCCTTGAGGACCAGGTGACCTCGGGGGCTGATGTTGTACCACCGTACCCCCATCCTGCCCACCTTCCTGAAGGTACGTACGTTAAATTATAAAAAAAACAATTGCAAGAGAAATAATTTAAATATCTTTTTTAGGAGCGACCTTAGTGGTGAGGGCGGAGGAAGCGCTCATTGTAGTCCTCGTACTCATACTTTGGGTGGCTGCTATCGTGCTGTTCTTCAACCGTTGGGGCAAAATAAGAATGTTGGAACCTTATCAGCCCAAGTTTCACCAAGAGCACAGATCCTCGTGCCCCATGGCTGAAATGGCCACAGTAACACAGGTAACTATACGTAAAGTTAACAAAGAAAAATTTCAAGACGGGTAATCCGTGACTCAGGAAAGTTATTACTGTTTTAATAACTTTTCTTTTCTCGAGCTAAGAGATAAAACGAAACGAAATAATCTTCGTTTAAATTTCAAACAACAGTGCAAACACGTTCTTTGTAAACTATAAAACGAGTTCATTTGATTTTTCATAACTTTTTTCTTTCTCTCTCGCTCTCTCTCTCTCTCTCTCTCTCTCTCTCTCTCTCTCTCTCTCTCTCTTTCTTTCTCTCTCTCTCTCTCTCTGTCACTCACTCTCTTTCTCCCGTTGGTATTACACAACTTTCTTTTAAGCCAAAACAGAATATTATAAAAATTAGCTTTTGTAGAAACATACTTTTTTTCATTCGCCTTCATTTTTTTTATTAAAATTAATATTTACAACCTAATTATTGTGTACAGTGTAGAACATTTTTAACATATATTTTCTTTCTTTTTTCCATATGAAAATAGTTTTTCAAGTTTTCTGATGGTACACATACTACTTTTTAAGGCTTCAATTATTAAAAAAAGGGCTATAGTTATAGAAAATGCCAAATTAAAAAGAAGGAAGTATATTCACACCTTCTTACAAAAGCCACCCAAAAATAATATAATACAATTTAAATATAATAAATTTACAATCTAAAAACAATGCTATTTTACAAACTTCCCCCTAGTTCTAAATACAAACTAATGTTTATGTTTCTAGATTTTTCAAGTAATCGACATAAAGTAATTTTTGTAGTTAAGGGTTTTAAAATGTGCGTTTTCGATTTTTTTAATAAAAATTTTTTGATCAACTTTACTGGCAACGTCTTTTCTCTTTTGTAACTTTATACATATGATTATACAGGGTCATTCACTTCTTGTCCGACAAAGTTCCTCAGATGCTTTAAACACACTTTAAATGGAACCAAAAAGTTTGTACAAGCCAAGATCGGATTCTGAACCCTTTTGCAGTTATTCAATATTTAATGTGTTTTTTCAACTATCTCCGGTTTTCGTCATAAATCTACACGTAATCTTGAACATTTTTTAAAATTAAATTTGGGCTTTAGAACTTCGGTAATCTTGTTCTTTTGTTGTCTGTATTCAGTGTAGATTTATGGTCCAATGTTTCTGCTTTTGTTGTTTGTATGTTTATTGTCTCTTCTTAATGTGTTTTGTTTCTTTTTGCGCTTTTTATTAAATAAAATTGGGAAATAAATTTTGCCCTGGACAAAAGGTTACGTTACTAGGTTAACCCCATTTTTCCCACCGCCACTATTTCATTGAGCATAACATTTCAGCTTTTTTTCAATGTAATTAAGGAAAAGGGTATACCTCTAGAAAGATTATTAAACGGAGATGTTCTAATGAAATTTGCCAGGCTGTACCGTTATTCGATCCAACGGAATTGAAAATTTGGTTTTTACCAATTTTAAACTTATGAATTTTTGAAAAATGTAATGTTTGTTTTTTACCAACAATTAAATTGAAAATTCTTTAACTTGGTGCCTTCTTAAACGAAATTTTACGCTTTTTTTCAAAACTGTTGTTTTTATTTACAAAAATGAGTAGTTCGTGGCTGCACTTCTAGCGTTATATAAATTTTCCGTTAAACCTTTTCTAGTAAACCATTTACATAATTGCTATCTTTTTCATAGATACGGTCTACGCTGAAATTGAATTTGCAGCATAGCTCATATATTTCTTTGAACCAACCGATATTTTTAAGAGGATATCGTGTCTGAGTCAATATTTTATTTACATAGCCGGAAGGAACAACTGAGAATTTCATATATTTCAATTTAAAAAAAGGCAGTTTTAAGAGCTGAAAATTGTATAATGGTAGCATCTTAAACTTAAGATTTTACGCTTTTTTCTAGACAGTTTTTTTTCTCCAGAAATGAGTACTTTAAGAGCTAGGAGTAGATTTATGTCGAAAACGAAAAAACTTAAAATGTTGAATATCTGCAAAAGGGTTGTAAATAGGAACTAATTTTTTTGTTGCATTTGAACTATAGAAGCATGAAAACTTTGTTGTACGTGTAGTGAATCTCTATGATCGTATTTACTATTAATAAAATATAAACATTTAATAATTACCTAAAATATTGTTTTTACGTTAAGTTTATCGAGTTTCTGTTAGACGTTTCGTGATTATCAAGTAAAAATAGAGTCTTGACATGTATTTTTTAAAGTTTACGTCAAAACTTCAAATATTGATAAGAAAAATTATATTTTAATTGTAATGAAAATATTATTGAAATTTAATTTTTTTCGTTTCATTATGCAGAAATGGTGAGATGCGGTCTGGTGTGATGTAGGTTTCAGAAAAACATTTTCTTTATCGTGCCAACGTTTCGATCTTTATTGAGATCATCTTCAGGNAATGGCACAATTACACAGAAGACAAACGCTTTGAGCCCTGAAGATGATCTCAATAAAAGATCGAAACGTTGGCACGATAAAGAAAATGTTTTTCTGAAACCTACATCACTCCAGACCGCATCTCACGATTTCTGAATAATTATCGATTATCGGTCACTAATCACCACACACTTTTTTCGTTCCTTTTTCAGCTTAAAAACAAACTATTTAGTGACTGTTTTTCTATATTTTTAAACCAGTTTAAATAATCTAGAATTTTCCTTTTTATAGTAATTGTTTCATGTTTTTCAAGCATAACAGAACAGAACTAGATTATAGGTTTGTTATGTTTCTAACAGAGTGAAAAAGGGACCTGTCTACCTACAGGGCGCGATAAAGCACTTTCCTGTACAAACAGGCTAAAACCCTTAACTTTTAATGCATATATCCCGTATATGATAATGGAATATCTCAGTCATCTTACAAACCCAAAACTACAAAAACAGTACTAGGAAAAAAAACGAAAGTAATTATTTATGTTGAATTGATAAGGAATAAAACTGGGGTAATTTTCCTAAACAAGGTTCATTGTGTTATTCGAGGTTTGTTTTGTTCACAAAGACTTCAATCGCTGTAATCGCTCGTGTGAGAAAATTCTAACATCTACTTTCCAATTTGCAACAGTTTAATTACTATTACGTTTAAACCCTCAGGGAATATTCATTTGCATACATCTGAGGTACTCCATCACAACATAAGCTTTCTTTACATTACACACAGTACACTTTTATTGAAATATTTCACCTAATTCCTTTTCAGCTAATTTCAATGCTTGAATCGTTAGCAAACTATTATAAAATTGGATTTCACTTTAATATTATTTATTTTAATTTTAATTTAATTTTTATTCTTTGAAAGGATTTTATAAAAAAGGTATATGCATTTTTCATAGCAAGCCAACGGCGTTATTGAAAAGATGCTATAAAATATGGATAAGGAATATTTAATTTAAGTCTCAATATTTCTTTTTTACTCACGCCTTGTAGTAAAATATTTAAAAAAAGTTTATATACATTTTTTTTCACCTTTTCGTTAATAAAGTAAATGAATTTTTACGGCATTAAACTAAATCTGCATCTGAGAGGATTCATGGGTAAATCAGGCTCTATCGGTCCCTTGTCACTTAGATTTTTCACAGATTTGAGATAAGCTTGTCAAGGCGGTTGTGCAAACGGCCGGAGGCCATGACAAGGAAGGATGACGCCGATAAAAACATTGTTTTCTTTCCGTTCTACATCTAGCCGAATTTCCCCCTCATCTTTCTAAGGCGGCAGATAAACATAGAATATTTCCTGCTTCCGTTTTTTTATGGTTATCATTTAAGCCGCAAAGTATGGGAAAATTACAGTGAGTACAATACAAGGACGAAAATATAAGATAGTCATGTAATTTCCATGTTATATTTTTGATAGATACCTGCATAAAATTAAAGGTTTGATTCTAATAAACTCGATCTAATAATAATACTAATAATAAATATTACCAGAGGGGGCGTCGGTGGCCGCAACGGTTTAGGCGTTGACACGGTGCTCATCACTGTAAGGTAAAGGTCCCGGGTTCGAATCCAGCGGCCCTGCATTTGTACAGGACATACTTACAAACGGGCTTTTTTTTCAAAAACACCGCACCCCGAGAGTTGATATAACATCTGCTGTTGCGAACCCTCGTTAAAATATATATATATATATATATATATATATATATATATATAACCTTAATATCATCAATAAGATCGTATAATACCACTTACACCTAGAATTTTCAACTGTTCGTTCATTTGTGTAAATAATTAGGGATTGAAAGAGGAGTGTAAATAACGATTGATAGAAAGTGAGTGAGTGGTGTCCATTACAATATTCATTCCATCAGTTTTGCTGTCAGTCATGATGGTTCAGAACAACAGCTGAAACGTAAAAGTGAGTGAAATTTTATGCTCATCCGCTGTAATCAATATCACTATTGTTATTAGAACTAATCTTACAATAACCATCTTTGGTGGTATACAGTGATACTGTTCGTTAGTCTTGTAAAACATGCCTGTCATGTTGGTTTGACATATACGCTAAGCCGTAATGAGTGAAATTTTTGTTTCCTCCCATGTGTTGGGTGTGAAATGTGTGTCCGTGACGTGTTATTTAACAAATCTGCCAAGCTTAGCAAGGGACATTTCTTACAACTAAGAACTAACGAGCCAGAAAAAGAGAGAGAAAGAGAGTCAGTAAGTCAGGGAGCGTCAGTGAGAGTGTCTGTAAGTGAATGAGTACGTACGAGAGAGTGAGTTAATCCTTCACATATTTTTGCTCCAAAAAATGAAATGTTCGATTAGGCTATATTTTTCTCTGTTAAGTATAATATGCATAGTACATAAAAATTATTGCATAACAGCAGACGATTGAACAAAATTTTATATACATTTCAAAAATAGATTCTTTAAACAAAAATTGACAGTACATATGTTTTATAATATGTTCAAGGTTTTGTGGATAAAGCGTTGTGTTAAAAAAATTTATATATATGTACGTATTTTAATAACACCCTCCATAATCTGACTTTTTAAGTAAT